CTATAAACATTGGAGGATATGTTGACTTGAATTATAAGTGAAGTAACAGTATTGCCAAGTACTATATCCTATTTTTTATTCATTTCCATACACCTCAAAGCAGTGCCAGAATTTCAAAGTTCCAATTGAACTCAACCAAATGGTATATATCTACAATATAGCATTATCTAGTTTTGATTTAATAACTAAAGATTCCAGAACTACAGTTTCTGTTATATTTATTATTTTTTAAATTTTTAGGTTTTGTTTTTTTTAAGAAATATGTTTTTACTGATTTCAGAGAGAGGAAGGGAGAGGAAGAGAGAGACAGAAACTTCAATGATGAGAGAGTCATTGATCGGCTGCCTCCTGCATGCTCCCTACTAGGGATTGAGCCTGAAATCCAGGCATGTGCCCTGACCAGGAACCGAACGTTGACCTCCTGGTTCACAGGTCGATGCTCAACCAACTGAGCCACACCAGCCAGGGCTTGTTTTATTTTAACAAAACAGCTATTCCAGTTTTCAAGTTCAGCTCTTGGGATACACTTTAGCTTTGGTGAGTTTTCATATAGTGCATAGGAAATTGAGATGTGTTACATTTGACTCATGCTTCAAGCTCATTCTTAAAGCGCAGAAGCTATCATCAGAGTAAAATTAGAACAGATTGTGTAAAGAATGAATTTAATCAACATTATGTTCAGATAATTCCATGAAATTACATCTCAGCACAAATCAAGAATATGAAAGATAATGAGGAGGAAATGAATCTATTATTCAGAACTTTATAAAAAGGGGAATTCCTGTACCCAAATACTAATCATTTCTTTTCACTTCAAAAACTGAATTACATTATATTTTCCAGAAGAGACATTTGACTGCATTAAGACGTAAAACAATTAATCATTCCTTAATAGTTTAAATGTTTATTTTTAAAATTACACTTTTATAGAAATAGTGCTTAAGTAATACTTAAGCAGTGCTAAGAGGAACAAAATTTTTTAAAAGGGTTCCCTTATTTTAAAAAAAATTCCCACCTGGCCAGCATGGCTCAGAGGTTGAGCATCAACCTATGATACAGATCCCGATTCAATTCCCGGTCAGGGCACCTGTCCGGGTTGTGGGTTCGATCCCGGATGTGCAGGAGGCAGCCCATCAATGACTCACTCATCATTGATGTTTCTCTCTCTCTCTCTCCCTCTCCTTTCCTCTCTCTGAAATCAATAAAGATATATTAAAAAAAAAATACATACTTTTAAACTGTAAATCTGAAGGAAATGAATATATATATATTCTATTTCAGGTGATGAGAAATTGGAATACAAATTTTAAAACCTATAGATAATACAGAATTTTCTGCGATGATATCCAATATAGTAGCTACTAGCCACAAGTGGCTATTGAACATTTACAATATGGCAGGCTGCCTGTGTGGCTCAGCTGGTTGAGCACTGTCCCATGCACCGGAAGGTCACTGGCTCGATTCCTGGGCATAGCACATGGCCGGGTTGCAGGTTCCATCCCCAGTGAGGGGCATGCAGGAGGCTGCTAATCCCATCGGTTTCTCTCTCTCTTCCTCTCCCTTTCTCTCTCTCTAAAAATCAATGAAAACATTTTAAAAAATAAAAATAAATAAAGCATATCTTTTAAAAAAATAAATAAAAATTAAAATAAAATATGGCTAGTGGGAAAAAGGAACTGTTTTAAATTATTATCTAATTAATTTAAATTTAGCCACTTATGGCTGAGACTACTGCACTGGAGAGTGCAGCATTAAGAAACTGGAGGTAAGTATTTGTATCTTAAATTTTGATTCAAATAATAAAAAGTCCTATATATGGGCATATATATAGATGCTTCTGAGACTTTTTAAAAAAATACTTGTGATTTATATTGAAGGAAGAACTATAACTCAATATAAAAATGTTGTTGCATTTGTGGGAGTACAGTTTTCTAATACTGACCTTCAAGAGAGGACTAGAATATTGGTCCACAAGTTGGCTCTACGTTTAATTTCTTAGGGAGCTTCCAAAAATATGGATGCATGGGTCTCATCCCCTGCCCCCACCCCACCCCCCTAAAGATTCTGGTTTAACTGGTCTGGGTTGAGTCCTGGGCATAAAGATATATCAAAGCTACTCAGGTTGATTCTAATGTACAGCCACTCAACCAGAAATAAGATAGGAAAACTGTTTATTAGGCATAGATGCAGTATGCAGCCAAAGACATTTCTTTGTTTGTAGGTACACTCATTTCTTACAGTGAATATGAAACTTTAACTTAGGTCATTTAAAGTCCTATATTAATTTACTCATTAAAAATTTTAAAATCCAGTTCCTGAGTTGTTCAACCCATCTTAATTTTCAAATTAAAAGAGAAAGGTTCTCAGAGAAAAATGGGGAAATCCAGAGCAATGAACCCTCACCCTTCCGCATCAGCACTAATCCTTCTTTCTTGAGACCCAATATCTTTTCTCCTTTTTCAGGCCCCTACCTTGTAAAGTGACATTAACACAAATGAGTCACACTTGGTTAAATCAGAGGCCAGACAGAATACCTTCAATGTACTATTCTAATTAATAGCACAAAGTATATGCCAAATAAGAGTATATTGACAGGAGCAGTTCAACGCACTGACTTGGAGTGGGGTAGTGTTTCTTTTCTATTTCAAATGGTATTAAATTCAGTTTAATTATACCCCCAAAATCTTTTGTAACTTATTTAAAAATTACAAACTCTGTCAAAAAAGCAGACGAAGCAGTGGCAGCTTACCCCCAACAGTCCTTTTCTCCATTATGTTTGGGGCTGGGCAATAAGATGAGCTGGAAAAATATATATTCAATTGACATTGGAGAAGCTACAATGCTCTTCCATCTAATTCTTAACCTATGAAAGTGAAATAAAGCAAGGATTTGACCTGTTTTCCTTAATAATAAATAACACATAAATTCCATTCATTTAAAGATTGACACCTATCATTGACCCAAAAACTGATTATACAGTTCTCAAATTCATGTCCTGCATTTATGAGGCACACCTACAGAAAAAGACAATGTAAGTATTTACAACTTTTGACTCCTACCATAGTATCGAAATCTATCCTTTAAATTGACACTGGTTTCAATGGTTTGTGTATATGTGTGTTACAGGTGACATGAAAAGCTATTTATAAATATTTTTGGATGCTGGTAATCACCCTGCAAAAATTAAGCAGGCTTTACATGCAAGTAAAAATTTTGGTGGGACAAATGTAAATTCAAAAGACAATCCTACATAATGGCAGAGGAAGTCATAATTCTGCAATTGTAAAAGTGAAAGACGCTATAAATCAGTCTCTTTTCTTAATAACTAACCTTAGTTACTTTTCTATTTTTAATTCCAGCTTCCATCCTACCCTCTCCCCCACACATACTCCCACAAAGCCTCTACAACATCAAAGTTAGAACACAATGTTATTATGAAAAAGTATAATAAATTTAGGATTGGATGATAAAGCATTCAACTTGCCTCTGTATGAATTTACTGAACCAATGTATGCATGCATTTAACTTAAAAATGCTAATGACATTAAAACAATAAATAATTTATATCATAGCACTACCACAAGCCACCAATGAGCATGAAGCAAGTTTTCATTTGGACCCTGGGAACCCCAGTCATCAAGAACTCGGGAAAATACCAACGCTTGTTTC